AAGGGTGGGTAAACTATGTTTCTCTTTTGGACTGATTCACTCTCATGTAACCCTGGATGGTCTTAAACTCACAGAGATCCATCTACCTCTATGTCTTGAGTCATGGTGTTTTTTATCACAGTGACAAAAACTAAACTCAGACACCACCTTTGAGTTTCCAATTGTTCTTTATCCTTTTCCTATGATAAATGCATTTCTGCCCTTTTGTCTAATTTCAAAATTTCTATTTATGACTTTATTTGAAGTTTTAGTGAACTCCATATAGGGTCTCAGACTTTATGTTTCCACTCACTGGGAAATTGCATAGGCTGTATCAGAATTAAATCCGTTAGTTCCCAAGCATCTACTTTTTTTCCTATTGTTTTCTCAGTCAGCTATTTACATCTGCTAATTTCCCCAGACCTCCCATCAGAAATTTACCAAGCAGAACTCCATCTCTTATCTTCTATGCCTGAGTGCTAATCACTTACCATGTACTAAGAATATCTAGTAGAGCAGTGGTTCTCAACCTGGGGGTCATGGCTTCTTTGAGGGCACATATTGGATGGATATTTACATCGTGAATTCTAATGGTAGCAAAAATACAGCTATGACATACCAATGAAAATAACTTTATGATTGGGGGTCTCCACAACAATGAGGAACTGAATTAATGGGTCACAGCATTAGGGAGGTTGAGAACCACTGCGCTGGAGCATCCACAGTGTGTACCCTGTACTGCCCTTGGTGGAGACTGCTCATCATTAGGACTACAGCTGAGTTCACAGACATCCCTCCTTTTCTTCTCTGAACTCTCCACCTTCTTACATTTCTGCTAAAAGAATCTTCATGAAACCACCATCTTAGCTCTTCCTCTGAGTGACAAACTAAATCACTCTGCCATATGAGTGGGCTAAAGCCCAATCCCCTCAACCCCGGGAAACTCTGAAGACCATTTGTTACGATAAATCTTTCTGCCAAAAGCCGCCACCAAGCCCCACTGCCACGTGTTTGGTCTATGCCAGCCACCTGCCCGAGTTAGGGCCCAAATTAATACACAGAGAGACTTGTATTAGGTACAATGCTGCTTGGCCAAAGACTAGGATTCTCATCTGCTAGCTCAGTCTTAATTATCATAAATCTATATATTTTGTAAGAATTATCTTATCAGATGGACGCCTTATTGACACCTCTCCTTGCCGGTGGATCACATTGCGCCACTGGAGGAAGAGTGGAGGGGAAAAGGGGACACTTCCTGTTTCTCTTTACTTTAATATGACTCTCCTTGCTATATCATTTCCTGCCTGGAACATCATTTCTCTACTACATTTCCCAGAATCGTCTTTGACTCCTAGTCCTGTCTAACTTGCTGTTTCATTGGCCAAACAGAGCTTTATTCAACAATCAATAAGATCAACATACAAAGTACATTCTCCATTATCTCTTTTCTGTCTAAATAAAAAGCAGGATAACTTATATTTTATAATAACTGAAGAAAACTATTGTAGCCAGCCCCTAAGTAGGCGTGGCTACAGCTTCCCCTACAACCATTCCTTGTTCTTCGTCCACACTTCGATCCATCTCTTTAATCATACTCTCACATTCTAGCTTCCAAGAGTTGTTTTTTCCCTTCAATGGAAAGAAGCTCATCCTAGCTTTAGCCCCTGCTGTTTTCCTGTATTCACATGGCTGACATCTTCACATGATAGCAAGGTCTCCTTATCTCTCTCCCAATTCCATCCTGTCTCACTTTCAGATTCATTTTTCTTTCATTTCTCCCAAATTTATCTCAGCTTCTGGAAATATTGGTTCACTTTCATATTTACTTAATTCGTTCCTGTCACCTCAGAGGCATGTGTAAATTTATGACCATGGATCTTGTCTCGCTTCCCTCCTTGCTTGGCATAGGAAGCAGGAAGTAAGATTTCTTTGCATCAATTTTTGCATCTTCATATTCTTTCTGATTATATATCTGTGATAACATTTAGCATATTACCACTTCATTTGAATAAGATGTGAGGTAGACAGAAAGTAAGACATCTCAAAACATAGGTGAAGAGGGAAAATCATGTCCAACGATTTATAGTTTTCATGTCATTAACCCTGAACATGTCTGGGTTTTTTAAATCATGCTTTGAATAACAAATACTCTTTAAATATCAATTTCAATAAGTTAGTTTCTAATTATATCACAGATAAATGTTTACCTTAACCTTGTATTGTGAGCTTATTAAATTTACTGCTTAGTAACTGCTAAAGTTCCTATTTCTATGTACTCAATCATGCTATCTGCAAATAAAATAGTTTTATTCTTGCATTTAAAGAGGGACACTCAATGATTATTATTTTAAGTACAAGCTATAGAAACTAAAAGCATCAGAAATCACAGCTGCCTGGGGGATAACTATTATGGTAGGTGGAGAATAATAGTATAATGGAGGAACACATTGTAATAGTTTAAAAACACTTGTCTTACAGCAACTTATGATCAATTACTCTAACTGTGTTTAAATTCCTGGAAAATAGTACCATATCTTGGATGTCTGTATACAACCTATAAAACACATTAAGGTACTTTCCCAAAAGAAGACACTTAAAATAAGTTACTCAAACACCATTGAAATGCACCAATGCTGCCCACATGGTGTATTTTTTTTTTATGAATGGTTGTGGATAGACAATAATTACCAATGAACAAGCTTCAGTTTGTTCAAACTTGCTAAGGAAATATGAGATGGGAGAAAACATAGGATTTCCTATCAAGAGACTAAAACACTTCCTCTCTTAGTTAATGTAAAAACAATTATTACAAAGGAGGAGACGTGAGTGTCTACCTGTGCACTTCTTTATGTGACTGTTTCTCTTCCCATGTGATCCCAATTTGCATCCAAAATTCTCCTCCCAAAATTCTGCAAACCATACATTTCTTCGATTATTGGCAAGAGTTCGGCTTCTAAAGTATCGATCAAATCCTGTGTTAGAGGAAAAAGGTATGATTTCAGTATTCATTCAAAACCAAAACTAAATATCACCATAACTTTGAAGAAATGTTTCAGTGAACAATATTTATAATATATTATATATATATATATATAATATATATTATATATATTATGTTTTACATGATATATAATATATAGTATATGTGTAACATATATATGCATATGCATATGTATATATTCACACATACAAATATATATATCATAAATGAACCATTCTTTTCTTCTCTCCTAATATGATTTGACACTCCAGACTTTCCTGTATCTAAAGCCATTTCAATCTCTATGTCTCCTGTATACCCTATTCTCAGCTAATTCAACAAGGTAATCAGAACTGATACAGTCATATAGACTCATACCAACATAGTCTAAATTCTTAGTTTTCTCAGGTAACCACTTCATTTAAGGGAAGGAATCCAGAAACAACACTTTACCTGAGAGGATAACGTGGAATTTAGGTCATTGTTAGGAATATTGGGAGGACATTTGGGAAACAAACCATCCCTCTTTAAGGTTTCCTCCTAATTTTCTGTTTCATTTATTTTTCCATAGGGTCAATTAATGTAATATGTTCAGTGGTTTTGTTTGTTTTTTTGTTTTTTTGTTTTTTTTTTTCCGAGACAGGCTTTCTCTGTATAGCTTTGAAGCCTATCCTGGCACTCTCTCTGGAAATCAGGCTGGCCTCAAATTCACAGAGATCAGCCTGCCTCTGCCTCCTGAGTGCTGGGATTAAAGGCGTGTGCCACCAACGCCCGGCCTTTGTTCAGTGTTTTAATCAAACTCTTTCCCTCCAACAATCTATAACCCTCATAAATGTCCACAAAAGTGAACAACAGTAACTACCATCATGGAAATGTTTAATTTTAATAATAATAGTGCTCTTTCACAAGGAAAAAAATCTTTAAAGTTACTTTTTAGCGTGCAGTGGCTGCATAGTAGAAATGACTACTGTGCCGAAAGAAGTGCACATTCTATTCAGAATCATCAATGAGTATAACTCAGATTTGAATTATAAATTGTTAACTTTGAATGTTTCATTTTTTAAATTTTTCTTCAGTGTTGCAGATTAATCCCAGAGCTATGAGTCCCCTAACTAAATGCTTGACCACTGAGCTATGTCCCCAGCCTGCATCTGAACTTTGATTTAACTGAAATAAACAAATTATCCTTATTGCATACTTACCATCAATTGATGCTCTTTTGGGCAAAATTGTCACGGCCCCTTCTGCAATCTCCTCTTGCTGATAGACAGGTGCTATTTTGGATCCCCAGCTATCCGAGCCAATCCATAGAAAATGCCCGCTTTGGTTTAACTTTTTTGCTGCTTCCAATATCCTCCTATAGGAATAAAATGTAATACATATATCATTTATTGAGATGCACTACTGTTTTGACACTCTTAACACCAGTGCTGAGGACTGAGTGTCTCCTCCAAATTCCATGTATCATGGAAACTTAATTTTCCAACTCATATGTTAATAGTTTGGTGGTGGGATTCTTGTGGGGGTTACTCAGGTTTGTGTAAGTCAGAAGTGTGGGTTCCAGGATGACATGAATGTTCTTCTGAGGAGAGAAGCAAAGCTAGAGGAAGATGCTTCTCTGACTTGCCATAGATGCCCTCCCTGTCTTCACCCAGAAGACAGGTTCTTAAAAGCTGCCCAGAAGCAGCTAGAACCATACTCTTGTGTCTCCTGAGCCAAGAGCCAAACATGCCTTTTTTCTTTATAAATTTCCAAGTTCAAGGTATTCAGCGATACCCACAAAAAGTAAAACCAACACAACCAGTTTTATAAAGTTAAAAACACTGAGTAGATCACTGTTAAACAATTAGTCAATCATTTTAATTGCTTGAGTCTTATCATCTCCTAAAGGAAATGCAGTTGAGACTCCAGCATGTGTTAATTGGGCTAATCCTTAACCTGTTCTCATCACTGTGTCTCCCATTCTGATTTAACTTGTCTCACTGGGTTCCAAGTTTTCCTCTGTAGGCACTGCTGACATAGAAAGGAGAAGGCTGCCGGGTCAGAAGCAGAAGGTAGTCTGTGGGTGCAAAGGAACCCAGCAATTCTGGTGAATCTCAAAAGCCCTTTACACTGTTCATGAGAGATGTGTGGGAAGGATGCAGGGCACAAATCTGATCCTATATCCTGCAAGAAAGTCATCACCTGATATCATCCTCGTTGGCAAACATAATCACTGCACGGGCATTAGGTGTTTCCAGCAGACGTTTGATAATTTTTTCAAATTCTCCAGGTCTTGGTTCACGTGGGATTTTCTGTGATTGAGCAATGCAAACACCACCTGTTTGAGGGGGGAAGAAATTGTTTCAGAGAAAGCTCTTATTTAATTAAAACTTAATGAGGTTAATTGCATTGTAAAAGCACATGATTTACTATAAAATATTGGTTTTTGAAGCAGTTGCCATTCTGGCCTATTGCAAGTAATTATGTCTGTTTTTATTATAATATATGCTCTAAGTAAATAACATCAATATGGGCTTGAGATTAAACATTTTGTTGCTTTTCATGGTGGTGATTTTAAAGGTTTAGAGAAGTACTGTAACCTGTCTACGATCTGTGAGGCAGTCCTGGGGATGGAAGGGAAAGGGGGACAGTTTGCATTTATTTATTAAAAAACTAAATGAAAGTGATAAAATATATCTGACTATGTATTGCACGTGAGGCTACTATAGAATAGGAAGATTCTTTGTCTGCCTTTCTTTACTAGTAGATCTCATTTAAACTTAATTTTGTTTTGCTTCACACTTCAGCAGAACATGTTGTGAGACAAATAGTCTTACAAGGCTATCCAGAAAGTCTCAAAGATGCAAGGCCTTGCTTGACATAGGCTTCCATCATACAAATCAAAATAGCTATTTAAGCCAAAACAAAGAAAGGGACACAGGGAGGGGAAAGGATAGAAAGAGAAAGAAGGAAGGATCCAGGACTCTTCCTTCAACCTTTTCTAAAACAATGAGAAGCCAAAAAGTTTAGACAAGACTCTGCCTCTGAGACTGGATATGGGTAGAAGAAAGAGTTTAATATTGTTTTCCTAATTACAGTGGAGCAGAGACAAAACACATTCTAACACTGGAAGAGAAAATAGAATTAGCTATAGGTTGTATTTCATTGTATCTTGAATGAACTTTTGTGAGTCAGCTGAGAATTAAATTGATATTTGTGACACTGCTTCAGAAGGCAAAGATATTTTTAAGCCCCCCAAAACTGACAACAATTATTGTCACTCAACAATTATTGGCTGCCATTATATATTATGCATTAGATGCCGCAAAATCTGTCTAATCTAGAAGACACCATCAAATCTGGAGACAGATATTGTAGTAAATTACCAAGGAATATGTAATAAACTGGAGAATTACAAAAATACATCATGTAACAGGAACAAAGAGGAAAGAAAATGAGAGCTTGAAAAAGCCACATTTCAAAGAACATGCTCACACTGTAATACACCCCTATGTGAGGGAAAGTGAGATATTCCTAATAGAGTATGGTGTGAAAGAGTTTAGCTTAATGTCAGCCTAGAGTATAAATGGATTAAAGCTGAAGTTTGAAAGAATGACCAGGTTCAAGAACTCATTTGTCAGGATTGTGAAGGACTGTATATAAAATATCCATGCATTGAAACTCAATCTCTAGTGTGATAGTATTGAGACAAGCTTGTTGGGAAGAAACTGAATGACAAGGATTTAGCCCTCGTGAACTGAATTAGTATTCTTTCTTAAAGAAGAAATAAAAGAGGGGATAGGGGACAGAGGGAGGGAGAGAGGGAGAAAGGAAGAAAGAAAGAAAGAAAGAAAGAAAGAAAGAAAGAAAGAAAGATAAAGAGAGAGAAAGAAAGAAAGAAAGAAAGGAAGGAAGGAAGGAAGGAAGGAAGGAAGGAAGGAAGGAAGGAAGGAAGGAAGGAAGGAAGAAAACAGAGAAAGGGAGGAGAGAGTGGCTGGAGAGGAGAGACCAGATAACTGTCTTCCACTACAGGCCATGTGAGAACACAGTAAAAAATTCAGTTGTCTTTGAACCAAGAAATGAGCCATCAGAAGAATCCATCCATTCAGGCACTCTGATTTCAGACTTCTAGCCTCCAGAAATGTGAGGAATAAATTTTATTGTTTATAAGCCACAAGCATACTGTAATCTATTACAGCAGCTTGACTGAACTAAGACATTACACAATTCAGACTTTATCCTGAAAAAAAAAAAAGAATCCATTTAAAGTTAACAATACAGAAAGAGGTAAGCTTTGTTTTAGGAAGAAAACTGAAGTTAGCAACAGACAACTGTTTGAATATGTGTAATCAGACCTAATGTGCACAACAGGAATAGATGAATAAACAATGATTATTCTTCTTATATGTTTGAAAATATTAAAAATCACCCCTGTAGTAGAAATGTACTTACTAACCTTATGTTATTGTCTCCAGAGATAGAACTGTTCATAGCCATGCTGCTTCCTTTCCTAACCAACTAATATACCAGTAAGGGTTATAGTGATCAATTCATTGCATAACAAATGTTTATCCCATATTTAAAAAGTATGTATAAGGAATGAGGATAAAATGGTCAATAAAATGGACATGGCCTCTGCCTTCAGAGAATTTAGAAATATAAGTAAATTTGGCTTCATGTAAACAGTAAGTATGTAAGTATGAATTATTGCAATCCCTATGAAGAAGAACAAGGGGATTTAAGTTAGGTGGTAGTCAGTGGTCAGGAAAGGCTACTCTGAAGTGGTATAATTTAGTTGGCCTCAAAAGGATAAAACACATGTAGAGAATAGTATAGGAAATGTCAGGAAAGAGCTGGTATAACCATGTAAGGAGTAGAGAAATCCTCAATGACCCATAGAAAATATTGGCTGCCTGAACATGGCATTTCATGAATGAAAATGGATGAGGACTGCTGATTTCAAGGGAGACCTGAAGTGTAAAGAATGGAAGAAGAAATCCCACTGAGAAGGTTATCTATCAGCATGCATGGTGGGGAACAATGAGTAAGACAATGCCATCAGGGGTAGGAAGAACAGCAGAGCTCTGTTGAAAGTTCTCAGCTCGAATCAATGATGCTTCAATATTGATTTGACATAAATGAATAGGCAACAGGCAGCCACCAAATAAGTGTATTTGCATGGATTTGGTCATGGTGACCAGTTTTGTGAAGACATGTTTAAACAAACTGATAATACAAGAGGACTGGCAGGTATGTGTCGGTGGTGATTTGAGGCAGGTGTCTTCAAAATACCCATGGAATATCCCTCAGACTAAAGTGTGTTTCTGGAACTATGCGGAGAAAAAGGGGAAAGCAGCTTATTTTCTGCCGGGTGTTGAGAGTGAGGGCTGATATTTTTAGATCAGCAGAAAGAAGGAAGCTGAGGGAGATCTGACCAAATCACATGCTCTGGGTAGGGATCCAGTGAGAGGCTGGGAACAAAGAGCATCTTTGAGGGAAATTTTGAAACTAAGGCTGGAGGAATGTTGAGAACCATACCTTCTTTAGAAACCAACAATGGCTGAATGATGATATAAGGTAACTGCTGAAGGGAAACATGAAACTATGACAACTCTTCAAGGAACAACGAATATTTCAGATTATTATTGCCTTTTAATTAAATTACTGTGATGAGTTAAGTACCAGTTAAGCATTAAACCTGCTATATCCTGGACATCATTCTGAGACTAACTCCATAGCCAGAAGAAACAGCATCTAGAATTTTTTTCATTATAATTATTTTAGGTGAATTGTTGTCACATACAGCTTAGTTGGAACTCAGTGGCTGACTTTTTCACTGAGGACATGGTAGATATTTTTATTTATAAAATTCCGATCTCGGTAGGGTGGATTTTAACAAAGCATATAACAACTTTACTCTTTTTTTTTTTTTAAATTACTGCCCTTTCCCTTACACTTGTCAATCTGGCCAATTTGTTCTGTGGAGGCTACATATTTAATCTATTTCAGCTGAGCCAATGCCTTTGGAGAAAATTCACTGGACATAGAATGGTGATATTTTATTAAGTTATACAGTGACTGCTTCTCCAGTGATTTGCATTAGAAGATTAGAATATTTTCCTTAGCCTTGAAACTCATTCACACTTTCTATTTCTACATCATTCGAAAAAGATAGACAGTTAATCCATTCATAAGCACTCATGGTCTGCTATGTGGCAGGAGCCATATAGGCATTCAAAGATTGCCTGCACTCAGCAGTTTCATCAGTTAGCTGAGAGACAAGATGTGCATATGAGAGCAGACAAGGCCATAACACTGGAGAACAATGAAAGGTAGCACAAGAGAGCTATCAAAACACAGAAATAAATGGCAAACAAGCCACAGGCCCAGATGATCCACTGATTTCATACTAAAATCAATCATTTTAAATGTTAGAATTTATTTAAATATGAAGTGAAATTCAGCCAGATATACAGTCCTAAAATGGAAGAGACATTCCCCACATAACACTCAATAATATGTTTTTACTCCCAAAATAAACTGCCTTTGTTTAAGCACCTGCAAGGGAGAGATGGTGACTGTCCTCAGGGAATTTATCCGTGGCACCTATGCTCTGATAGCTCCCTCAGAGAAGTTACTGACAGAATATGATTCTAAGGGCACTAACTTTCGTTTTCTACAGCACTCAGACCTACAAGGAACAATTTTGAAGTGTGGCATACAGCTCTCCCCAATGAAAAGCATTATATAGGAATTTATAATTATTTTCCAGCATCCCTTGACTGCTTCTTTTCAACTTGTGTAATTGTTCCCTGTTCCATTAAAGATCATCTGCTATGTAAGTACGCCACTAGCCATCACTCCTTTCCACTCTCATCCATTCTGAGATTCCATCATTACACCCTACAGCAGCACCCTGAGGTTATTACTATCGATACTTTCCTGACAGTGAAACAGAAACAGGGTCATCAATAGGTTGCTGGAAACTGAAGTGCCAGTTCACAGCCAGAACAATTGAAGTGCAGACTTTCCCCTCACCATGCCCATCCTTGATTGACTATAGCTGTGGCTTGATGGTTTGGTGGCTTCGGATCACTGATGAATGAGATAAAGCAACTTAAAGACTCATTTACCAGGTTATTCCTGGTAAATCTGATTGACAATTGCACAAATACAGCACTTTTGTTGAGTATTAAGACCTTAATTAAGACACATAAAATTCCAGAAGCTTATAGAGTTGACTTACACTTCATCATATAGTCATTCTTTCCTCAGTGCTTCCCAATCATTTCTGTAAATGTTCATTGATGTCTACCTTGGTTTCCATTCCTAGAGCCT